AGTTGCCTCACAATTTGTGAAACTTCAAAACAATTAATAATTCTGAAATCGCATGCATTACAAGTGAAGAAAATTCCTCGTTCTGCAGAAAACTCGGTTGCTTGTCTCGCGTCGGATTTAGACTAAGGAGCAACTAACAAGGCGCAACTTAAGCAAGTCATTGTACTTATAACCCGATCGCCTATTAAAGATACTTCGGTAATTAACGTAATTATCTTGACGATCCTCTTCCTCTCCCAACGTTCCATTCGACCGAACCAGACGATGGGACCACTCGAAACATCTCTTCGTTCTTCTCCTCCTCGCGAATTCGCCTCCATTGTTGAGCGCGTATTTTATTTCCCAACAATTTCTGGAGCGGCTCATTAATTACTGTCGAAATTATAGTCGCGCGATCTCCAATTAACCATCGCTATCGCCTGTAACGTATTATTATATCGGAAGGTTTTTAAACAGATGCAAAACCTGGAAACGATTAATACTGATATTCGTGTAAAATATCCCAGCATACATAAAAGAATACCTACGTTGATTTCTTTAACGATATGATTTATTAATTGGAAAGTAGTTGCTTATAACTTTTTGTATATTCTACACTTTAGATAAAATTCCTGAATCTGCTAGATATTTGTCTTTTGGATTGTTAATACAGATTTGTACGACACGAGTGCATTAGCTTTTGTTTCTCCTTCCCGCGCACCGCAACGCAAATCGCTTCATTTTCGGTTTTTTCTTTACATGCATCCGGACATTTCCACAGTTGTTAAGTGTCCATAAAAGGATGAGCGAACCCTTTCGGTTTAACTCAAGTGGATTTCGACACTACATAGATGGTATCTCGTTTTTCATAAAAGCACTCAAGAGCTCAATATGAATCACGCTTTCGATATTGAGCTACATTTAAATCTGAGTAACGTATTACGGTATGAATTTTATTTAAAACAATCAACAACGTTGTTATTCATTTGAAGTTATAAATTAAAAATAACCTTATTTTTCCATTATTTGCTGTCGTAATAAAAGTCAGTAAAAATCTGTTTATAAGATTATCTTTTTATTACGTGTATAGTAGCATTTGTGTACATTTAATTTGTTATTTTAAACACGGCTCTGAATAACAGTCTTTACACACTAGTTAGATTAAAGTAAAACAACTACTGTTTATTAGCTTTCGAAAGGCTTTAATCAACAGGAAATGTAGATATTCTGCAATCGTTTTTGTTGGAAAAAATTACACTTTTTCACTTGAAACGAAGCTGAAAAAAGCTTCACACTTTGCGTCTTAAAAATTGTCTTCTTTATTTTTACTCGCAAAGTATCAAGAGGGATCTTCGTACCCTTTATATCGATCGTAAAATTCTACGACGGTTCTGGAATTACGTGCTTTCTTTCGGGAGTATAAAAATATTTCATATAGTTCGTCAGTATATCGTTCTAATCGTTTCCGGATTCTCGGTACCCAAGTTCCGCACGGTCGTGCTTTTTGCGCAGTTTGAACAGAGCCGGACTGTCGTAAACTTTCGAGAAAGTTGACGATCTCGAGGGAGTCATTGTTTATCCACTTTTCGTGATGCTGTCTTGGGTTGGTGTCGCGTGTCGAGCGGCCCGAATTGATCGATGACGTGCTAGAGTGCATGCCAAAGGTTGTAAAAATCTAAGTGAGAAAGAATAAATTGCTCATCCTTATTGTGATTATATTACTATTATTAGATAATTTGCCACTGGTCACATAATGGTTAAAAGTTTTTAAAATTTTTGTGTGTGCATTTTGATTGGAACCAATTTCAAATATATCATTATTGCTAAGTAAATTTTTATTTATAAACGGAAAGAGAATTATGTTGTATCAACACGATCAGTGTAATTGAAATAAAATGATTGAACCAATATCGGTATTAATAAATGAAAAACATCAGATTGTTGTCTTAATAATCTGGATATTTAGTTTAATGCTTAAAATTAAAATCCATAGCACATACAATGGAGTATATTATTTATGTTTGTGACAACCCGTGACGTTAACGTTTAATTCAAGCAACTTGATTTTGCTTAATTCAACAGCATTCTTTTCCGTGTAAAATCGGAAAGTTTCAATGAGATTAGAATATAATACATTTATACTTGGCAATAAGAATTAGAAGATATTTAATAGTTAAAAGGGTTAATTTATTCAATCCTGGAAAGGGATGATATTTATTATTTAATGTTATATAATAATAATAATAAAATTCGTGGGAAGGATATAAATAGTTACTCAATTCTCTCTTTAACTTAATTAATTAAACATTTCGAAGTCTCTCCGCGTTCAATTAAATTGCTCCTCTTTTCATTAGGATTACCGTTTTACCTAAACCCTCCGGTATTTATCTTTTCAATTTTACGACGTCGATAGTCCGTTGCTTCTGTCTGCCTAGCTTTATACGAGAAAAGAATCGGAGCCACAGGATGTCACTTCGAGCTTGATCGCGGCGACGATATGCGCTGCAATGAAGTGTCTCCGGGTCGATAGATCTAGTCGGTGCATCCGATTTAAACCCCCCTAGCGACGTTAAATGCGTATCGTGCTTGTTTTGCGACAGGACGTCAAGGGTGTTGAGAGCGCAACGCGTTGTCTCGTTCGAGGGTGTGCCAGCAATCGCTCTCTACGATCTCCCCCTCCCCCCCCCCTCTCTCTCTCATACGCTTCGCTTGATTTTACGGCCAGAAACTTCCCCGATTACCAGCTATGCGACGCTTCATCGTTGCAAAGTGCGCTTTATTGCCTACTTGTCTTCCGTACAATTCGAAAATATTTTAAAACAGACGTAAATTCTAATCAATATGCACCGTTCGAATTGCAGCGCGAGGGAGAATTCATTTTCTCGTCGTGTTTCAAGCGAAACCGTGGTATTTTAACGACGCACGCAAGTATTTACAATTGTAAGAAAATATAGGTGTCACAACGATATATTAACACAAATTTTAGGAGCGGAAATTTAAAAAAATTAAAATGTATATTATTGACTACCAATTTTACCTTAGCGACAATCGTGTCTTCCGCAGATATATTTGTTCATAAGGAACAGTTTTTGTGATGAACCGAGAGATATTAACGTTTATGATGTCGTCAGTCATCCCGCAAGTCTATCCTCGTCTCCGCGCCTCAAAATCCCATTAAACCAAGGCTCGTTCTTAATTTGGTTTCTGTCGTGATCCGCTGCACAAAGGAGTTCGACGTAAATTCGATGGCGGTGTAACTTCGGAAGAGGCCGACTCAAAAGGGAGTCAGGCTGAAGGATGCGACTATCGTTTGTCCCTGTCTCTCGCAATATCAACAGCATTTCCCCGGAGCATACGTGCCTCCTGTCGCTGTAATGAATATTGAATTATTATAAAATTATCGATATAGTTCTGCTGCATTTCCCCTTAAGCGTGATGTGTCGACGTATTTGACGATACAGCTGCGACGGGCCGCTGATCCTTAATTGTGCAATAATGCGTTTACATAGGAATAACTTCCGGAAATGTCTTGAGAAGAGGTTGTTTTTTGAAAAGACGTTGTAGATTAAATGAAAGATTCTTTTTTACGAATCAATTTGAAATAGTCTTTAAAAACTTGGGATAGTCTTTGACCAAGTTCGATTATTTTTATTCGACGATATGTTTGTCGTCTGTTGAACCAAATGTCTGAAATTTAAAGATGTTTCTCTAAATTAATCAATAACTAATGAAATAAACGTAGGCAATTATCAAATGATGTCCCGAGTCAAAATTTTGGTACTACAATATTTTGACACTTTTAAGGATAATTTACACCTACTTAGCCGATCTATACGCCTACATAGACGAGTAATAACCTATTTTGATGACGTTATATTTTTCTACTTCTCCCTTGAATCTTTAATTGTAAAAATTTACTTTAGCTCCTGCTTAAAAGGACCTACTTTAATGATAAATTGGCAAAAGTAGAAATTTTCGACACCGCCAGTTTTTAAGTAGGAGTAAATTTTGTACTTGCAGTTCGACCTCTTTTACTGTTTTAGGTCCTACTATACATATAATAGAATTAAAGGTTCAACGTAGAGCCAAAATTTCAACTCGGGGTTAAACACTTAAATTTACCTAGATTAAATATTTCATCCAATAAAACATAGAGTTTACGAACTGTTATTTCGAAATATGATATATGTATCCCAGTTATAATTTACGGAGATGTGAACGCCGCGGTATTCGCGATATTACAAGTCGCGCTAAGTGGCACTTTCGCATCGCCCTGAAAGCAAGTATAAGGTGGCGTAAAAGGATGAGCAGGCAGATCGAATGTAAGTCGATCGATCAACCGTCTCTCCCGCGACGTTCTCTGGTTTGTGTATGGAACCGGCGAGTTCCGGTGGCATCGCGGTGGGTGGTGCGCCGAGGAAATCGTGGATAACGGGGTTGGTTTCCGCGGCGGATGGGAAAAGAGAGAGAAAAGGGAGAAAAGGGAGGCAACCCGGGCGAAAGAAACCCTTCTCCTTCTCCCTCGGAGAAGATCGTCGCGGATGGGACCGATCGTAAATTATTCCACGCGTTTAGAGGGTTAAGCGAGTCGCGCTCCTTTCAGTTGTTCTCATTCCTCCGCCACTCTGCCTTGCGCAACGCGCGATTTTCCACCCCTCGACGACGACGAAATGCGAACGGAAAGGAGTAGAAATCTATGGTACCATTAGCATGGTTCTCTCTCTCTCTCTCTTGCTTTCCTTCTCTGCTTTTCCCGTTGCTCCGCGTCGTCCCACATCTGCCATAATTTCGAGGCGTCGCCGCCTCTTTTCGCGCCCACTTTATTAAAATAGTAAATCGGTCGCAAGTGATTGCAATATTGTCCCATCCTTTTCGCTCGAAACGCTCCGAAACCTTTCACGTATCGAAAATAGGGAGGAAATGCACGCTTCCTTTTAGAATTGAGTGGAAGAGTGAGTTCCTTTAGACAAGTAAAAACTAAAAAAAAAAGGGTGATATTAGTCGGTTTGATATAAACTCATACACGGTATTGGTATAACAATCGATAAGATTCAGTTGACGCTAATTTTTACATGTTACCGACACGAAAACGTACTTCGGTGTCATCGAGTATCCTTATGAAAGCTAGATATGAGAACGAAAGCGAGTCTGTCTTTTTGCAATATGTCATAAGAATTACACTAGTCAACAAACTTTTTTTAACAACATAAACAAATGTAATTTACAACATGATTGAATAAATGAAATATTGAAAGCTAAAGGATTGCTACGAATAACATGGATATACTGTTCGTGTGGGAAGCATGATGTAAAACAATCGATGAAATTTTGGTAGCCTAATCAAATTCAGCGTTTAAATATTCCGTATATTTTGGAACACTCAGGTATTTCAAAGAGAATGGCCAACTAGAGGATATTAGGATTAGGGATATACTAACCGGTACTGCGCGCGAGATAATTTCCGTGTCGTCGCGCCTCCTCGTTTTCATTGTGAATGCGAGAACGTGCGCCGATCTTATCAGCGCGTCAGAAGCCGCAGCGTATGCATCTGTTCTCCCCTCGTCGCTAGATGCACACGAAATTTCATTGTCCCCGCGGCCACGCGTGTTTATTACGATGCGCCACTCGTCCCAGATGTGTCTAAATGCACATCGCCGTCGCCGTCGCCGCCACGACGTTGCATCACGCATACCTTATGACGAGCCTGATCGTAAGCGATCCGCGTGGTGCACCCTGAAAAGAGGAAAAAAGGAGTAAAATTCCTGCGGGATGTCTTCGCCCGTGTGCAAACTCCGACTCCCTTGACTGAGCGACGAAGACTAGACGGTCTCTCGTCATTTCTCTTTTTTACACGAAGCTATGTCGAATAGTTTTCGCTTGAATTGAATGAGAAGGCACTTCTCCCGTGGAACTCAATATCTTAGATAAAATATTTCAGAAGCTTGGCGAAGGGATACAAAAATGATCCGCATGACAGATGATTTTACATATATCTCGATAAATAATGTTTAATAGATTTTAGGTCAGGTAAAAGAAGAGTAGGTGTAAGTGCAAAGTGTGTATGGCAGATTTAACATCTAGCCAGGAAGAATATCGATAAAATCACTGAAAGGAATACAGAGTGCACGAAGCAAGAATAAAATGTATATGTATTTTATACATATGCGTTAATCGTCACACAATTTCTCACTTTCTGAAATTATACATTTTGATACCTGATTTCTCCATAAAATTTTGCACTTGAAACTTAAATTTTCTCTAATAATTCTTACAATATTAGAAAAAGATATCGAGTTGACTGAGAAAAGATTCGCTTTCGTCTCATGCGGATCTTCTCTTTACAAGAATAGGTATCTCGATGGCATTGAGATACGTTTTGATGGAATTTATAAACTTCCGGGACGCGAAGAGAATATTTTTCTCGATCCGTTGGCTATATCGAGCGAGAACCGCGAGGAAAAATAGGGATATCAGGAGGCGCCGTAATGTTTTCCTTTCTCCAGCCCAGGCATATCCGATGGAATATCGACAGATTCACGCGCGAATCCGCGAGACGAGCGAGCTGCTGAATACATCGAATGCAAAAGAACAGCTTGCATTCGAAAGGGGAAGGAGAATGAGAAGAGAATATCGGGCTGTGCGATTTCGGATCGAGAGATTAAGATTGGATTTTGCAAGAAAATTCGACATTTCACGCTATCTCGCACGCGAGTTGATATCTCTAGTGTAGTGGAAATATCGCGAATCAAAATCGAAAAGAAATATAAGAGAAAGATAGATGTATTTTGATTTTAGATTGCCAATTTCAATCCCGAATATACGTGTTTCATACAGAACACAAATAAATTTTATTATTAAAAAGAAACTTGATGGCTAGTCCTCGCGAAGTAAAGTTTATACCCTTTGAAGCATACATTTTTCTATTGAACCATTTTTTGTGAAACTTTGTATACAAGGGTTTTTGGGGTTGCTGATTACAAATCCGTTATCAGATTTTCATAATTCAAAATGGCGGATTCAAGATGGCGGAATTCAAAACTTAACAGAATAACATCATTTAACTGTAATTCAACTATGCTAAGAAACATTATTTAGATATTATTAAGACCCATGGAATCTAAATTCCAGTTAAAATTTATTATAGAATATAAAAAAGAGCGCGCGCGAAATGGCAGATGTAAAATTGAAATTTGATCATTTCTTAGAATTTACTCATTTTTGGCACTACCCAGAGTTAACGACGCGGACGTGATGAGTCCCTAAATACCGTAATCAAACGAAAATGCTGAAAAACTTGAAAACTTAAAAAATTTACATACTTTGTATCCTCCATTTTGGGTCGGCCATTTTTAATTTTGAAAATCTGATATCAGATTCGTAATGAGCGGAAACCCCTTTGTATAAAGTTTTCAAGAAATAATCTTAAAAAACTTGGACAATAATAAATTTTTCCGAAAAAGTTACCCAACCTAAATGCGTTAACTAGAAATTAAATGGGCAAAAAGTAAAGATGTTGAGGTGGTAACGTGGGTTACCACCATGCTTCAAAGAGTTAAGAAACGATTTTTTTTGACATTAGGAATTATTGTTAGGATTTATTTAAATTGACGACACTTCGTCAGATCACCTTCGATCCTGTGACGGCTCATACTGCCTTAATTATATTCTTTATATATTGTATTATTTTATTACTGAGCCTTCTTTTCTTTATTTATAATTGTTAGGATTGTTTTCGAAAATTTATTCGATGTAATTAAGTGCCGTGAAGTTTGGTAAATTTTTTTTTCACGTAAAAGTTACTGTGGGATTAAGTGGATTTTTCTGTGTATTCAATTGATTTTACCAAACATTCCTGACGTTATAAAACACAAGAAGGAAGAGAAAAGATCCTTGCCAAAAACGGATCTCATTTCTCTTCGTGCAGTGGAAAGTGCAGCCAGCATATCGTGTTACAATGAAACGAAGCACTCGGGTAGTAAATCGAAGTAGACTTATTTTGAAAGTTTGTATCGTCGACTTGATAAAGAAACTTGCTAAGTCAATATAATTAACTTTATAATTCGGTTAGTTTCCTCGGCGAGCTGACAATAGATAAATATTTAAAATAAACTTGTAACGTTGTTTTCCTCGTTCGTAAAAGCACCACTAGTTTGTTTTATCTTCTCTCTCTGTATATACGACATGAAAATATTTTGTTTACGATGACATAAAGTTTACCGCCTAGTCGTGAATACAAAGTGAAACTTACAAGCGAAACCGACGTTAATCTTTCGCGAGACGGAAAATCTTTTGCAGGTAGATACACGCAGAAATATACACTGCGTGTAAAATACTGGTATAAAATATATTATATTTACTAGAGAGATGAAAAACAAGTTTTCATTTCAAGAGCATTAAATTTTCATTTTTTTAGTACTTCTTTTTTATAAAGGTAAAAAAATATTAAACCTCTCTTAATTGTGTGTCCTCGTGTATGTTTGTGTACGTTTATACACACAGTACTGAATTAGCGTATCTTTCTCGAAAGTAGAGGAAGCTATGCAAACAAATTTCCAAAAGAAACTGCGCGGAAGAGGAATAAACTCGCGAAATTCCGAAACTCACCTCGCGTTTGTCACGTTTCCTCATAATTTCAATATTTCGTTAAAATCTGGGATAGGTTCCAAATTTTATCGCGCGCTGTCGCACATCCAGCCTATTCCTGGCTTTAGATTATGGTTGATCCGAATCCAAAGGTTCGCGAGGCGAAGCGAGGCGTCGATGGAAATCATACGTTTCAAAGAGCCGAATTGATCGAATGTAAAGAAGCACGAGTGCGAATAATGCCGAACGAGTGTCGGAAAACATTAAAAGGAGGGGAAAGAAAAGGGAAACGCGGTGGTGGCGGATACCCGGCCGATTTCAGAACGGGCCCAGCCAGACGCATATAAATTGGCTGCGCGGCGTGAATCCCTTTACATTTTAATCGCGGCTGACGACAACGCCGACGGCCGTGTTGCCATGCTCTTTCTCGTTTCCTCTTCCTCCCTGCGCCAATTCTCTCCCCTTTCGCTAATCTCTTTCCGCCTTTCCATCTTTTCCCGACACGCCAACGCGTACCACCCACTCGCGGCTGCAAACTCGGACGCTAGTGCTTGAAACGGATCTATCTTTAGAATCGAAAATAAAAGAAAAGATGTCCTTTTATTTGCGTGTGTTGTTAATTATCGCTTCAATTTAAATAACAAATCTGACAGATTGACAGAAAAAGATAGAAAAATCTTCAGAAAAATCGAGCTCAAAGAAGCAGATTTTATCTTTACCGTCTCTCTCTCTCTCACTCTCCCTCCCTTTTACTTCTCTTCTTCCTCCCCCCTCTCTTATTCTTCAATTCTGCTGCATCGATTTTTATCATTTTCGTGACCATGCGGACCCTAGTGCACATTCCTACATCTTAATTCGTGACAAAACAAAGTTTTTTCCTAAGCGTGACACTTTCACTTCCTTTCTAATTTCGCTACATCGTCTGCCCTCATCAACGTGAAACTGCTCCTCCGCCATCTCGCTACATATTTTTTTATCTCTTTTCACGACTGTGCGGCTTTTTCCTCGGCACGGTACTTTCATTCTCTCTTCGACCCTGCTCCACCTTTTTCTGTCTCTTCTCACGATTACGAGGTTTTTTCTTCCGGAAACTTGCTGCTGCTTCTATCTCTTTGCGATTGCCATGTGTTTTTTCCTCTCCCAACGTGACGCTTTCGCTTTTTTTTTCTGTATCGGAGACGCGTTTGTCTCTCTCGAAGGTGCATTTCGCGATTCGTGGCTACGGAAGTATCCGCACAATTGAAAGTGAAGGAAGAAAGGAGAAATGTGAACGTCCTCGCACATACGCGCGGTACTCAAAGGTTTTTCTATTTGCGAGACCCGTGTCTGACCTGCGAAAGGCAAGAGCACGAGTCCAAGTATCACGCGTGTCGCAATCCATAAGAGCATTTCACGGAAGTGATGAATTGAGCAAACGCGTGGCTTTCATCAGAGCGAACTGATAAAAGACACTGTTAACACAAACATGCAAGTACTCGCTGTTTCATGAGTGTATCTGGCAAAATCGCATTCCCTATGATTTTTAAATATTAATCCATTAGCAGCGCGGAAAAGAGCAATAGCGATTTGCAAATTAGAGCATCTTAAAAATGAGCCGGCTAAGACAAAACGATTACTCACTGAACGAAATCTTCAAGTATTGCCTGATAAAAGTGAGAAATTACAGTCGTGAAAGCACAAAGACTTGTCCTAAGCACTAAGACTTTTCTAATTATTTATAGTCGCCGTTAAATATATTTTGAATTAGCGTTCGCTTTTATATGCGAGAAAAACATTATTTGTGAAAAAAATTGATTCATCGAAAGAATAAATTTTGTAGCGTATAATAGATAAACGTGTCACCTAATAAAATAAGTGCTTTGTAATGCACGATCCAAAGATGTTTTCAAAATTTACCGTAGGTTTAAATGTCAAATAGGAAATTTTGACATTTACTGATATTTTGTACTTTACCGACTGTAATTTCACAGCGGATATATCGGCACAAGAATACTAATCGATTGGCACTTTTATCAAACGTACACACCGTACCAGTGCATACATTAAAATGCAACATGTACAATCGCGATGTTGAAAGAGACTGAAATTGCGCTTGCGCGAATTTCAGACAAAAAGTCATCTTACAAGTGTTTTTCTGTGGGAAATGGACATCTGTTAAATTTCTCTCGGCATCAAATCGATCGATCGTTTAATCGTCCACTCTTTTTCGCCGAGCAAAAACATGAAACTCTGTGTTTCGATTCTCACGGTAGTATTTTCTTTACATTACCTTGCCTCATGTCCGTTAGATTAAGCAATTTTATGTTAGAAGTTATATATCGGAGAAATAGAAGTTTTAAAATACTCCAACGATTCTTTGTAAAAAGAGGGTACGCTATTCTTCACTTATCCACAGTCAAACGCGATAAGTTTTTCGCAGAGTAATGGTTTGTATAGTGACCCAGTATTTCAGCTTGAATCGAACACTTTTCCTTTTGCTCGGTTTATGGCCTTATCAGCGTACAAAATTAGTTGAACTTCAGACAATCTTAGTTCTTGGTTTCCTAATTAGCAGTGTCGTGTATCAGGTAGATCCGTATTTTTAATTGTATTTCTTATTATGATAACTATTAATTTTTTATCATTGCATTTTGTTTGCATTTATGCATTATTTTTGAAAATATAGTTATTTATATGTTTATTAATAATATACATATGTGATACAAGTAAATATGTATATTGTATTATAATAATTAAAACCTCTTTGTTACACTATTATGTATGGCAAAGCCATTGGTTATTTTATATTTATTATTTTACTCAATGTCTTTTTTAAAGAAACTTTATTAATTATAGCTTGCAGCATTAATTTTTGGAGACTTCTCTAGCGAACTTATCTTTAAGGTTTTCTCTTTAGCATTACTTTTTTCCATATATGTGATTAAATACAATTCTTTCCGAATTAACAAATCAGCAGTAAGTTGACCATTAATTTATTAAACTAGATAAATATTATGGATAAATTAGTTTGTACATTTAAATCCTTTACAATAAGTCGAATGTCGAAAAGTATTTCTATTACAATAGCTGATTTTCGTATTGGAGGAACTACAGCATGTCTCTGACGAGCTAAAAGACGAAAAAGAAATCGATATCATGAATAAGTACGGGGACAACGCAAGACGTTTTACGACTATAATTCTATGTAAGAAAATACTGAAATATTGTAATATGTCGTATATACATATATCGTAAAGCGAAATAGATTACAATGAGAATTGTATTATTACATTAGCCTGGTTAACCACATGAGCATTTTATTAGAAAATATTTAGATGGTATATTTGTAACAGACTGCAAAAGTTAATGAAAAGTATATTTATTAAAAAACAAATGGAATGTGAATAGATATATACAATATTTTATATGTATACTTATAATAAAATTATCTTCCGTCACAATGACGTATACGTTCCATTGTAATTATCACATTAAAAGTAAAAAAAACTTAAATAATAAAAATGTACAATCAGTTCTTTAAATAAATGCTCATTAGAAAAGTGGTAAAAGGGCAATAAACTTAATGAAGTGTACGGTAATATACAGGGTGTCAAAATTTGTTTCTGACCACAAAAAAAATGTTGGTAGATTGGATCAAATTGAAAGTCCGGCCTTCCGCTTCTCCGTGCGCTCATTCGCTCAGACATTTTTCTTAAGTACACGATAATTAATAAGAATTTTGCAAAATGGTATATAACTTCTCTTCTCAGTTTGATCCAATCTACCAACATTTTTGGTGTGGTCAGAAACGAATTTGACACCCTGTATATGTTATTCTTCTGAATTTGGCATCTTTGATATGAAAAGCAAGCTAAAGTATATGGCATAATTGAGTGCTAATTAATTGATATTTATAGTTCTAATTGTGAATTTATTGTTCCTGTTATGTATTCTGTCTCACGTGTTTTTCATAATTTGAAGTGCTACCGCAACATTTAATTATGCCGTCTACACTTGTTTTTAACGTTGGGCGTGCTAGATTCAGAGAAATTTATTTTTGCAAAATTGATGATGATTTATATAACTATTTCTTTTAATATTTTTAGCACTTCACGTTTGCAACATGATTGTTATGTTTTCATTACCATTAATATTGTACATTGTTAATGTTCTGTTGGTGAATGAATATGATCCAGCACGCTTGCTGAAGAGGCTTATACCTAAGTACTTCGTCGGCCAGGAAACTTATAGTTATCTAATTTTCTTACATTTGGGTGGAACAGCTTGTTTAGGAGGAACGGCGCTCGTAGCAACAGGAATGATGATGCTAGTCTGTCTTAAATATGTATGTGGAATGATCAGAATCGCCAGGTGAAGATACATGTATATGTAAGAACAAATACAGGGTGTCTGACGCAAGAGTACCCCTATGAAAAACGGTGGTAGATTGGGTCATACTAAAAAGAAAAGTCTTGTACCATTTTACATAATTCGCAATAGTTGTCGAATAATGTATTGAAACGAAGCGAATGAGGGCGTGGAAAGCAGTAGCGGTACACTACTAATTACTGTTTCGATAAAATCAAAATTAATGTTATTCAATTGGCGAAATAATTTATAAATAGTAGAATTATTTTTAATAATTTTTAACAAATTAATTTTTATAACCTTTCTTTACAACAAATAATGAATATAATAAATATACTATATAACATAAAATTGATTCGATTGACATTTTATATTTATCTCCTATAAACATAAAATATCAGTCGAACCAATTTTCTTCGTACAATTATAATAATAAATACAATCCTAGTACGAATATAATCCCACTAATGAAATTCCCTGTAGCTATCGTATCGAGAAGGCAATGATGGTAAATACACGGAAAAATGTTAGCATGAAAAAGATTATGTTTACAGAAATAGTTCATGCTATAGATATTCATCGTAAAGCTAATGCGTTAGTATTTATTTAACAATTATACATATGTATATATATGTAATAACATTCTCATTTTGTTGAAGGTTGACCACGTTTTTCTTATCCCGTTACGAACAATCGTTTTTCATCCTAATATTAATTTCTGTAACTTCTCTAACTCTCAATCTTTATGGAGTTAGTTCATCTGGCATTATTAGATACATTTTTGGATAAGTAGTTTAAATTAAAAAAAAATTGTACATGTATAAAATATTCTTTCTTGTTTTAGTAAAATGATTAATTGTAAAGTAAGATATTAACTCCGAGGTTGTATTTTAGATTTCTGAAGCCCTTTCATTCGGAGACGATATAGAGGAATTGTTGGTGCACTCTATACTTGTACTCACTGTGTTTGTATATTTATTCTTACTAAATTATGCTGGACAAGAATATGTGGATCATAATGCCTACGTATTTTCTGTCGCGTAAGAATCAATACATGTGCTCAAAAATACATATCAGTAAATGCTTTATGAATATAATGAAGATGAAGATTCATAAATCATATCAGCACGTGATAATGATTACTACTATCCATCTTCAATTATCGTTTCATTTCCAATCCGTTATTTTTTATAGGTACAATGTTCGGTGGTATGTAGCACCATTACACATACAAAAGCTGATATTGTTCCTCTTGCAAAGAGGTAGCAAAACTATTAAGCTTAGTATCGGCATGATTTTTGTCCTGTCTCTAGAATTATTTGCCATGGTAAAAAATCAATATATGTCTTGTGTTATATATAACATATACATACGTATGTATGTATTTACATACGCATATACAGAATGTACGAACAGTGCTGAAACTTTTTAATATTTTCGACTTTTTCGTACAACCTGTACGTATGTATATACTTACATATTATGCAGCATAGATACACGACATTAGATGTGTACATTTTATTTTAGCTGGTAAAGGCATCATTATCCTACTTTACTGTTGTGTATTCCATGTAACAGTGATACACAACAGTTTTATCATCTGACAATGTACTGCAGTTTGTGATACCGAATGTGAGTCTAGAAACAAACCTTTTTCACCTTTGTGTGACTGGTACATAATATTATCAAAGACGTAATGTTCTTTCTTTTCTTAGTAAAACGTACTGTCTATAACGTAAGTAGAAAAAAGTATTAGTTGATTTCCATATTAAAATTGATATCTACGCAATCTGAAATATTCTTTACCTTCGAATAATATTAATATTAATTGTAAGGTTTGAACATTTTATTCCTAAGCAAGTACTGCACTGTTAACAGCGCCGATGTTTCTTTGTTACATTAGTTTGTTGCACTGTTTTAGCAAATTTACTTTCAATTCAGTCGCTTCGCGATAATACATTTTTATTTCCTTTTCACTTTAAATTTATTATACAGTGTTATAATATAATAGATGCGGACGTGTAATATGTGTATACATATATTATATTATGTGGACTAAACAAGACATTTGTTTTTCGTATGTGCGAACGGAAAGTTGGTGCATACGTGAAATACCACAAGTATAAAAAGTTGAAAAACCTACATTTTATAATATTTTGTACTTTATTGGCGATAATATAATTGATGTAGTAACAATACATAAAACAGATGAATCGATGTTGCTCCGAAGAACGTCATTGCGCGAATGTGCATGATGAAAAAAAGAACACGGAACTGCCACGATGAGAAAGGACAACTGTGTTTGCGCAAATTTTAACCAAGAAATATCACACGAATATTTTTTTTATGGGAAGTAAACATCGGTTGTGAATTTTCCCTCGGTGTCAAATCGATCGATCGCTTAATCGTCCGTTCTCTTTCCGAGTGTATAACGTCGAGCGATCTCACAATAGCAACTTACCTACCTCGCATTACATTTATGCTGAATTAAGCAATTTAAAATTTACATAAAGAAAGAAAAATTCTAAAACACTTGATCGTGTGTATATGCAATTGATTCTTTTACAAAGAGGTGATGCGCTATTCCTCGCAACTTGTTCGTCGCAAATGTATCGCATTCGAATGCGATACATTTCTCACAAAGTGATGATCTGTATCGTGACCCAGCACTTCAGTTGGAATCGGTTTATTTTATTGTTAATTGGCTTATGGCCTTATCACCATTCGAAACTAATTCAGCTGCAGATAATCTTGTGCCTTGGTATTTTGATTAGTTGTGTCGTGTATCAAGTAAGTCCACATTTTCAATCGTATTTCTTGTTACGGTGAGACTGTACGCAATATTATTTTAAAACTTGTATTTATATATTATGTATTTATTTTTATTAATAATTTATAATGAAATTAAATATTAATATACTTTATTGTAATTATTAAATTTTGTTGGTGTGTACTGTTATGTATGCTAAAACAGATTATTACACTTTTCAGTACTTAATTAAATAATGAAGTAGCTTTCTTAATGCTAGTTTTTTAAACATGTTTATTAATTATAGCTTGCAGTATTTATTTCTGAAGAATGTACTGTCGATCTTATCCTTAAGGTTATCTCCATGGTATTATTTTTTTCTATGTATGTAATTGAATACAACAGTTTCCGTGTTAACAGGCAAGCTGTAAGTTTGTTTTATTTTTCAATATATTATATATAATTAGATGAATATTGTTGATACAAGTTAGTTGCATTGTAAATTTGTAACAAAATTATTGTTACAAATTTACAATGAGATGAATGTTGGAAACTATTTTTGACACAATAGATAAAATGGTCATTGGAGCACCTTCAGCATATCTGTAACGAACTGAAAGACGAAAAAGAAATCAATATTATGAAGAAGTGCGGGAACAACGCGAAACGTTGTACGTTTCTATTCATAAGTAAGAAAATATATTGACATCTAGTACATGTTGTAAATAAATTATAATAAAAATTAAATCATTAGCCTGATTAACTACGTGAGCATTTTATTAAAACATTTAGTTATTATATTCTACATAACAGAATGCAAAATTAACATATATATATATAAAATATGAGAAAAACATACACAATAAAAATACATTTCTTCATAATATGTGCTTTATAGTATGTACTTTACTCTAATTCGTATATTAAAATTGAAAAACTTAAATAATAAAAAATTAATGACCATTATTTTACATTAATGCTCCGAAAAAAATGGTAAAAGGGCAATAAATTAAAAAATTTATTTTTAAAATTAATTATTTGTGGAAGAATAACAATCAACGTTCTATATGTATAATAAATTTTTTTAAACAACTTTAGTGTTTCAAGTGTTCAACATAATTGCTATTATATCATTGCCCTGTGTACTATACATTTTTGATATTGTCGTGCACATAAATGAGCATCGTCTAAGTCGTGTGATGCAGATGTTTATACCTAAGCACTTCGTCGGCCGAGAAAATTATTTCTATCTAATTATGCTACATTCGGGCTCAGCGATTATGATAGGAGGGATAATGCTGATTGCATCAGTGACGTTGTGCATAGCATATGTTAAACATGCTTGTGGAATGTTTAAAATCGCCAGGTGAAGAGAAATATATGTAAGAATAAATATAAAAATTATATCATAATTATGCACACAATTGTTTTCGTTATCATTTTGAAATTTATAAACAAATTCCTTAAAAGTCAATCAGTGGATTATCACTGATTGATTTTTAGAGAGAAAGGAAATTGACTATTATAGCCAAATTATCGCTATTGGGCATTGAAGCCATTAAATTTTACTAGTATGGTAAATGATTTTATTATAAAAAAATTTGTTTAATTAGTAAAGTAGGAAAATTATTTTGTTAAAAGAAATAAATTTTATTCTATAATCCATTTTCAGAAAATATATTTTGCTACTACAATTAGATCTGTTTCAATAGTAAAATAAGAATCACTGTTCTTCAATCGGATGTCAAAATGCAAATAATAGGATTCTTTTTAGCGATTTAGATTTTTTATAACAATAATAAAATATATAACGTTATAAAATATGATATGTCAGCATGCGATATTTTCCTGTAATCTCTACAAAGATAATCACAGTACCGACATTCTTTGCAGTTATCGCATCGAGAAGGCAATAAATACGCTGAAGAATGTTAGTTTAAAGAATGAGATTGTAATGTACAGACAATTAATTCATGCCGTAGATATTCATCGTAAAGCTATAAAGTTAGTAATTATAATTACTAGATATATCTAGTAACAATTATACCAATATAAATATAATTATATTCTCTTCTTATTGAAGGTCCACTACACTTTTCTTTTCTGTCTTTCAACAATCGCGTTTCGTCTTAATAATAATTGGAGTAATTACCTTAAGCCTGAATCTTTATGGAGTTAGTTCTTGTATTATTATTAGATACACTTTTAATAAGTTTAAATTGAAAGGAAATTTTATAGTTTTATTTTACACAAGGGGCAGGCAAGAATTAAGAAATGAAACAGTTTGAAGGAGTTAATTGATCGTAAAATTGCCGTAAGAACGTGAGATTTTATTTAAAAGAATGATTATTCCATGTTATAAAATACAAAATTTTTACAATATTCAGAGGAGAGCGAGCTAATAGTTAAGATACATAAGCTACAATCGTAGTCATGGTGGATAACAGACAACATCATGAAACGATTTTTGATATTATACGTGACCTGATTTTGTGAATACCTTGATTAGAAAACGATAGTCTATGTACTAATAATATTTTGCCTACTTGATGAGCATCCGTCAAGAATTTTTTTTTAATTAAAATTGATTTTCTAATTTTTGCTTGCACCTTGCTAGTAAAATGACTAATTGTAAGACAAAATATTAATTTCAATGTTATACTTTAGATTTCTGAAGTTATTTCGTTTGGACGCGATATTCAGGATTTTATATTTCATTTTCTAATTGTAATCGATATTTATATATATATGTTTTGTTTTAACTATGCTGGACAAGAATTTATGGATCATAATAACCACATATTTACCACTGCGTAAGTGATATACCATATATGCTTAAATAAATATATGTATATCAGTAAGTTTTTGAAGTTGAGAGTATAATCGAAATTACGAGGTTGATTCATGACTCTATATAAAAATTATTATTGTATCTCCAATTATTGATTCATTTTCCTTTGTAGATACAATGTTCAGTGGTATATAACACCATTACATGTACAGAAACTAATATTATTCCTGTTGCAAAGAGGTAGCAAAACTGTCAGCCTTAGTTTTGGGACAGTCTTCACATTGTCTTTAGAATTATTTGCAGTGGTAAAAAATTATTATATTATCTATAGCACATTATGTGTGTGTGTGTGTGTGTGTGTGTGTGTGTGTGTGTGTACAGTATGTGCATATAAATATGATATACAGACACGATACAAATATACATTTCGTTCTAGTTGACAAAAGCATCGATAACCTACTTTACTGTTATGTGCTCGATGCAAGCGATGTGAAAATTTTTTATCCAACAATTGCAATTGTGTTTGCAATTTACAGTAGAGTAGGTGAGTAGAAATACATTTTTTGCATGTGTTTGATGGTTGAATAAAATTATTGAAGAAATAACATTTCTTCTGTTTTCCAAGCATAACGCATTCGTGACGTAAGTAGAGAGATAGACATTAGTAGATTTTTATATTAAATAGATTATATGTACATATAATATATTATACCTTTGAAACATGAAGTATCATTTACCTTTGAATGATATTAATTTTAATGAGTAGATTTCGAACGTTTTTGTTTTTCGCGTTTAAATCAGTAGAACATCAGTCACACGAAGTTTGCACAGATGAAATAGTACATATGTATCGTTAATAACACTGATATTACTTTCCTGTATAGTTCGCGTTGCTCTGTTTTAATAATCACAAATTCACGGTTGCTTAAGTCTCGATAACGAATCTCTATCTACTTTTTGCTTTAAAGATTTCATTTATGGTATTATAAGAGCTATAACGGGTAAACGTGTGATACATCTGTACGTAATATGCTCCAACTAAAACACATATGTTCTTTGTGTTTTGGAGAACATTATTAATTTTTCAGTAATGTAGAACTAGAAGTGTAAAAAGGTCTTTATACTTGTAGTATCAAAAGCTCGAAGAACTACATTTTGTATAATATTTTTTACGTAGTAGATTGTTATACCTGTACTTTATTGGTGGTATTTATATACAGTTAACACAACATAAGAAAAATGAATCGATATTGTTCATAAAGAAGAAAGAAATTGCGCGAGTGTACACGATGGAGCGCATAAGTAAAGTAAAAATATATGTATAAAATACCGTTAAAATGAGAAACAACTGTGCTGATATGAACTTCGATGAAGAAGTGTCGCGTAAACATTCTTTTTATTCGGAAAGTAAACATCGGTTGAATTTTCCTCGACATCGTATCGATCGGTCGTCTAATCGCTCGGTTTTTCTTTCTCGTGTAAGAACATGAAACACAGCAAGTGTTCCAATCTCACGATGGCAATTTGTCTACCACCTCGCATTATATTTATGCTAAATTAAGCAATTTAGAATTTATGCTAAAGAAGAAAAATTGTAATATTCTGGATATTTGAGAGAGTGGGACATGCAAATTCTTTACGACGTTCACGCGGTCAAACGCGTACCGTTTCTCGTAGAGTGATGATCTGCGTCAAGAGTCACTTTAAATTCAATCGGATTCTTCTGCTCTCGATTGGCTTGTGGCCTTATGAACGAACAAAACTCGTTCAACTTCAGGCAGTTTTGGTTTTTATTCTTTTGTCTAGCAGTGTTATACATCAGGTATATCCATGTCTGTGTAAAACAGTTTATTATTTTCTATTTCTGAAAATGTTTGCAATGGTAATTTTTTAAATGAATTTATTAATTTTAGCTTGCAACGCTTGTATTTACAAAATGCACTTCAGCTCTTATCATCAATGTTCTCTCTATCGCATTGTACTTTAGTACGTTTGCGATTTTATACCATTCTTTTTGGATTAACAATGATGCTGTAGGTGGTGCTTCTACTGTGTTTAAATTCAATATTTTCAAAAACTTAAGTTTTATACATGAGGCATTTTTTATAAATTTTACGATATTAAGTAACGTTAAAAATAATTATTTTTATAATAGATGAAGTGGTTATTAGATAAACTTCAGCATATTTGTAACGATCTAAAAGATGAGAAGGAGATCGCTATTATAATAAAATATGGAAACATCGCGAAACGTCTCACGGCTTTATTCACGTGTAAGCCAACATTTAACATTTAATCATTTACTCAAGCGAAATATAATAGTTAGTAATTGTCAGAAAATCGCATAAAACGTATTATTTAATTTAATATATTGAAGGATGTCGTAATTACAAAAATATTAAAAACAAATTAGAATGAAAGAAATATTGAGAAGAATAGAATAAAATTATATTATCACGATAAGAATTTTTGTTTCTATTATATTAAAAGTAGAAAAATTAATTTAATTGAATATTTTTCAATCATTAATTATTAATTAACACTGAGGTTCTTTGCACAAAACAGTTTATAACGATATTATTTAGAAGAATATGAAGTAATGTTTAAAAAATTTTTTATGTTTTTAGTGTGTCATGTGTGCAACATAAGTTCTATAATATTATTATCAGGTTTATTGTATTTTCTTGAAGCTGTTTTGTTCGTAGAAGAGTCTGATTCGTATCACTTTTTTCAAAAAGGGTTGCCCAAGTTTATTATCGGTCGAGAAAACTGTACGTATTTAATAACGTTGCATTTTTTTGGAGCTGGTTTTATAGGAGGTACTGCTGTACTAGCAGTAGGAATGATGCTTGTGTCATACTTCAAACATGTCTGTGGAATATTTAGAATCGCCAGGTGAAGAAATAAGTATAGACATAAATATAACTTTTTCACCATAAACATAATTTTATTTGGTACTTCTTAAATAATTTCATACGGAGAAAAATGATCTTTTTGCAGGACAATCTATTTTAGTAGAATAAATGTTATTGTGTTGTTAACAAAATAGTTTATATTAAAATTATTGTGAGCATATTAGTTTTTTTATAGCTTTTTTGCCGTCTCCGTAACGATGGGGGAAATTTATTACGACATTATAAAATATTTTGTAACAACTAGTTGGTTCGATTTTTGTCTGCGTAATTACGACAAAAAGTTTTTTACAGTTATCGCATTGAAAAGGCAATGGCGGTAAATATGCTGAAAAATATTAGCTTGGAAAACGAGATTATAATTTGTAAGGAAATAGTCCACGCTGTAGATATTCATCGCAAAGCTATCAAGTTAGTATTTATGTAACAATAATTATAAATATATGTAATAATATTTTTTTTTCGAAGGATCTCTACACTTTTGTTCTCTACTTTTAATGGACCGCTATCCTTATTGTTGTTAGTTTTTGTGATTTGTTTGAGCTTCAATCTTTATAGAGTGAGTTCTTACGGTATTATATATATTTTTGGATGACTATTTGGACTTTGAGTTTGTAATGTTAAATTTGGAAGAGCCGTCTGCAATATAATATCTAAATTGAAACATTTTCGTTGCAACCTTGTCCACAATAATTTATTATAATATATACATAAAATATTAATTGCTATGCTTATATTTTAGATATCTGAAAGCATATCACGTGAGAACAACATCGAACAATGTCTTATTCATTTTGTAATTATAATTGGAATTTTTCTGTTCTTGTTTGTAACCAATTATATCGGACAAGAAATGACTGATTACAATAATCACGTATTTTTTACGGTGTAAGAATTACTGTACTCACAAATATACACGAGTAAATTTTTTTTATTATGGAAAGAGAGAGAAAACTTAGTTTCCTTTAGTATCTGTTTACTCATAGCGAAAATTGATACTTGATCTTTTCAAATTTTCGATGGTTGCTCAACTGTTACTTTCTAGATACAATGTCCGGTGGTACGTAGCACCTTTGCATGTACAAAGGTTGATACTGTTTCTCTTGCAAAATGGCAGTAAAGCTTTTCACCTATGTCTTGGCGGAATGTTTTCAGGTTCCATCGAACTTTTCGCCACGGTAAAATATCACTTTATATCGTATGTTATGTTTAACACATTGTGTATAGGTATTCGAGCTTCGGCACAGATATAATATCGTACAAGCTGCATTGCATTCTAGTTAACAAAGGCATCGTTGTCCTACTTCACTGTTGTATATTCTATGCAACATTGATATAAAAAATATATCATCTGATAGCGTAATTTGCTGTAAAATAGGTAAGATTTAAAACAAGTAAATGTATGGTGTGCGTAATATGTCAGTTGTATGTTATTGTAGAATGTGTCAAGGAAACTTATTAAACGTTTTAATATGCTCTGCGAAAATATGTGTGTTTAAATATTTTAGATATAACTAGTATGGACAGTTTGATGACTTGCAATTTGTAGTATTCTGTACCTTATTAAAAATAATTACATACCTAACATGTTAGTTTGCAATGCCGGTATTGATGTTCCTCTTAGTCGACAAATATGTATGTTATACGAATGTATGCAATGAAATGAAATGAAGCACGTGAAACGGTCGTCGTGAGAAAAGACAACTGCGTTTGCGCGGGCTTCGGTTAAAAACTCATGAGTGCTTTCTATGGGAAATAAACGTTTGTTGAATGTCTCTTGGCGTCAAATCAATCGATCGCCCGTTCCTGTCCGGGCAGAAACATTAATTTGCGAGTGTTTCGATCTCACGGTAGTATTTTCTCTACCGTCTCGTATTATGATTCTGCTGAATTGGGCAATTTGGAGAAATTGTAGAATTTGTACTGAGAATAGAAATTTGAAAATAAAATATTGATATCTCGTAAGGGGGAAAGAATTCTCGTCGAGTTCTTTGTGCGTCAGTCATACTGTGTTTCGTGTCTCGCATAGTGATGATTTGTGTCACAACTCAGCATTTTGGATACCACCGGATTCTTCTGCTTGCAATTGGCTTATGGCCTTACCAACAATCCAAACTCGTACAGTTTCAACTGATGTTATGTTACGGTATTGTGATCAGCTTTATTGTAGCCCAGGTACAATCAAATTCGTAAATGTATTTGTAGTTATATTATCTTTTAATATTTCATTTTTAGTATTTCACTCTTATAGTACAATGTAATATATAATATTCTTTTTTAAATCATATATTTAAATAATGTATATTTAATAATATCAAAAACTTTAAATTATTGAAATTTATGTGACTTTGTTAAAGATGGATACAACGATTTTCAACAAGACATTTTTAATCTCTATTCAGATTTTAACTTTTGTTAAGTTTCATTGCCTTTTAATAATTCTTTTAGTACATTACATCAAAGGTAGATTTTTTTTGGTAAATTTTGCAACAACTCTTGCATCTGCTCAAATCTTTTTAGTTGTGATTGAAATTATTCTTTCGAAAACAACTTCGCGGCCATCTGTATTTGTGTTTGATAGTTTTATTATCAATTCGAAATTGAGTTTATCAATTTTGCAAAGCAGTATATTATTATACAATTGCTATAATATGTGATAAGATTATGAATTGTTCTTTGCAAATGGAGGAACAATCGATTATTTCAGTGCTCGGAGTTAGTTGTATGTACATTGTGGACAGTTTTTGTAGTGGACGCCCACTGACCCCCAATGCGGCCAATATCGATCGAAGCTCGGCGGCTCAGCTTCGATTGATATTGACGGTATTGCAAGTCAGAAGGCGTCGCCTACGAAATCTGCTCGAAATGTGCAACTAACTCCGAGTACTGGATTATTTTATATCTGCAACTAAATTAATCGCATAAAAAGGCTGTTTTTAATTAAAAAATTATAATAAATATTTTTAAAATAAATTAATTGGTTGTAGTTTTCCGTGTTTATGTCTGCTGAATGCACTGTCAATATTGCCATCAAGGTTCTCTCAACCGCATTATGTTTTACTATGTATATGATTGAATACAACTCATTTCGAATTAACGCTCAAATTGTAAGTTGGTATTGCTTTTGCTATATTCAAGTGAATAATACATAAAATAAATATTCCTGATAAGCCAGACTTTATACAAAGTAACTTTTTTCCAAACGTCCAATGAGGCTAATAAAAAAATAATATTGATACCAAAGGTGAAGGGATTCTTGGAGGAACTTCAGGACATCTGTAATGAACTAAAAGATGAGAACGAAATAGCTATCATAAAGAGATATGGAAACATCGCGAAACGTTATACTGCCATTGTTACGTGTAAGACAGTACCTGATTTGATATTTAATACACATTACAAAGGATAAATTTTTTCAAATCATAATATTGCTTCATTCATGTTTTCTATCTAATACCTATCTTTTTAAATAAATCTATTGAATTGTATACATATGTATAATTCGAACAACTTAAATTACTTTTGCTACTGAGAATTGAATATCTTACAGAATGTTTTATAAAAATAAATGATGAGAGAAATTAAGAAGAGCGAACAACTTTGAGGCGTCAGGATGTATAACGATAAGAACAATGAATTATGTGTCTATTTTTTTTAAACATTTTTAGTTTTTTACATCACCAATTGTACTTCCGTTATTTTACTACCAATTTTACCGTTTATCCCTGGTCTTGGCTTCATAAACGAATCTCGACAACGTCACGCAATAAAAACCGTCATGCCTGTGTACTATGTTAACCAAGAAAAATATTTTTATTTACTTCTGCTGCACGCGGTTACAACCATGCTTATAGGAGGAACTGCATTGGTAGGAACAGGAATGATGCTTATAGGCTACATGAAACATGCCTGTGGAATGTTTAGAATTGCCAGGTGAAAAAATTAATGTGAATAAGTGAAACAGTTGCATGATTGCGAAAAATTTGTTTATTTTTATTTAACATATATTTATGCATGAAAATAATGTTACTGTTGAATATTATTGGATTACTTTGTTACCATATTATCGATATTGTAAATTTTATTGATATACTCGTATATAGATAAGGATAAACTCTTCTCTCTCTCTTATTTTCTTTGATAATAAATTTCTTATGGCATAATAAATTGTTTAACATTTGTATAAAATATTTCATTAACAAAATTGAAAAGTGTGTTTATCAGAAAAAATTTTCATGAAACGCAACATTCTTATCTTTAACAAGTATAACACATATCAATGTATTGGAATAATACTCTTCGATGATAGAATAGGAATCTATTATTTAATTTTTTGACAAGATAATTTATACATCAAAAAGAGTAGTTTTAATAAATTAATGTTTCAAAAAGTTGTTTTCTTTTCGTAACATACACTAAAATGATGAAATTATGCTAGTCAAGTATTGTTCCTTTTATGCAACGAGAACACTATAATTATGAGGAAATTCTTTATAGTTACCGCATTAAAAAAGCATTGATGGTAAATATGGTGGAAAATATTAGCTCAAAGGACGAAATTATAATCTATAAAAAAATAATTCTGGCGATAGATATCCATCGTAAAGCTATCAAGTTAGTATTTTTCCTACTAATATTTAATAACATAAAGAATAATATTTTTAATTTTTTAATTTGTTTAAGGTTCTCCGAGCTTCTGTTTTCTAACTTCCAAGGATCACATTTTTTGGTGATAGTAGTTGGTGTTATTTGTTTGAGTTTAAATCTTTATGGAGTGAGTTCTCGCATTAGTAGTTGTATTTTGATGTGAACAGTATGATATATTTACAATATCAAAATTACCGGAATTTTATACAATATTGAAAGATCTGTACGCGGAAAAAAGTTTTTGTAACTTTGTGTAGACGTCAAACTTTTAATTATGAAATGTAAATTTTTTAACGTATTACGATTCCGATAATTGCACTATATTTTAGATTTCTGAAACTGCAGCACTTAGAGGTGATACCGAACGATTTGTAATACACCTTTTAATTATAGGTGTAATGTTTGCATACTTATTTATAGCTAATTATGCTGGACAAGAAATTACGGATCATAATGACCACGTATTTTCTACAGCGTAAGAGACGATACATTCTATAAATTTATTTCTATTATTCAATTGTTTTGTTATGCAGATTTTTGTTTTATAGCTACAATGTTCAGTGGTACATAGCACCATTACATATACAAAAACTAATATTATTTCTCTTGCAAAGAGGTTCTAAAACTCTCACTCTGCAGCTAGGCGGAATATTTATATTGTCCTTAGAATTTTTCGCTACGGTAAAAATTAATGTTGAATATTACGTGATATTTTTTTTTATTCACGAAACAGATTACATGAGCTGTATTTTATTCTAGTTAACAAAGGCATCGATATCTTATTTCACCGTTGTCTATTCCACGCAACAATAATGCGAAAATTTACTATCCGACAGTGATTATCATTTTCATTACAATAGGTAAGTTTAAAAGTAAATTTATTCTCTTATGTGTTACTATCTTGGATGAAGTTACCAAGGATATATAATGTTTCTTACTTTTAAATCGTAACGCGCGCTGTCTGTAACGTAAGTATAAAGAGAGATATTAGTTGATTTACATGTTGACTCGAGAATGCTTAATAATTATGAAACAGTTTTCACTTTTGCCTAATGTTAATTTGAATAAGAAACGTTTCCACATTAGAATAAGTTTCCACGTAGAATAAAAGATCGCTTATGCAAAACTTACACAAGATAACACATACTGTACATCTTGTCCGCACTTACTATATATGTATATCCGTTGCACTGTTTGGATAGTCAAATCACAAATTTATAGATATCGAGTTTTGATAATGGACGTATACACTTGTTGTCAATAAAGTATTTTATCACAAAACTAGTTCGTGCTGTATCATAAAAGACATATCTTCGATGACTCATGTTCTCCTACGTAATACGAATGTGAATTCTTTCTGAGTCAAAGAGCTTTAGCAAGTAGTAAGGTATTCCAAGATCTGCATTTGGATTGCTTAGTACTTTATTAGTGACAATTGTAACCGATGTATATTATCTCGGTAGTACATAAGACCGAAGAATCTGTGTTACCCTTAAAAACGAAAGGTATCGCACGAGTGTACACAACGGAATAAAGTATAAAACTGTCACGATGAGAAAGGACAACTGCGCTTGCGTGAACTTTGATGAAGAAGTGTGGTGTAAGCCTTCTTTTTACGGGAAATAAGCATCGCAGGTGACTCTCCCTCGACGTCTTCTCTATCGATCGCTTAATCACTCGTACTTTTTTCCATGCAAAACGTGCGTTTCCATCAAACTGCGAGTGTCCGAATCTCATGATGGCAATTTGTCTACCACCTCATGTTAAATTTATGCAAAATTAAGCAATTTTGAATTTACGCTGAAGAAGAAAAATTATGTAATATTCTGAATATTTGAGAGAGTGGGATATGCGAATCTTCTTCAGTACGTTTTTGCAGTCAAACGCGTACTGTTTCTCGTAGAGTGATGATTTGCATCAATACCTATTTTAGATTCAATCGGATTCTTCTGCTCTCGATTGGCTTGTGGCCTTATAAACGAACAAAACTCGTTGAATTTCAGGCAATTTTGATTTTGGCTTTTCTGATTTTCTGTATTACATACCTGGTATGTACATCCATATGTGCAACTGTGTTGTTGTTATACAGCTCAATATTTTAGATTTCTAATTAGTTAATTAAATAGAAGAATTTTGTAGTGTTAATTTTGAAATAAATGGTTTGGTTTTAGTTTGCAACATTTGCATTTACAAAATGCACTCCAGCGCTTGTCATTAATGTTCTTTCTATCGCCTTACTTGGTATTATATACGCGTTCTCATATCATTCTTTTTATGTTAATGTTCATACTGTAAGTTATATTTAAATTTAGTATTTTCAAACATTGAAGCTTTTTTAATATAATACATAACATGTTTTCTAAATTTAACGGTACGTTGTTAAGAAGAATTATTGGTATAATAGATAAGGTGGTTAATGTATAAACTTCAGCATATTTATAACGATCTAAAAGATGAGAATGAGATCGCTATTGTAACAAAATATGGAAACATCGCAAAACGTTTCACGGCTATAATGATGTGTAAGACAACATTTATTAATATTTAATCACTTATGAAGCGAACTAGTTTGCGATCGTCAGAAAAATCGCCTTAACCATTTTACTATTTATGTTAACATATTAAAGGATGTCGCGTAAGTAAAAATTTTAAGAATAAAATGGAATGAAGGTATATTAGCACGATAAGATTTTTTTGTTTCCAATTATTATATTAATATTAATATTAATATAATAATTGTATTATATTAATAGTTGAATAATTAATTTAAATGATAAATTTGGACACTTTGAGATTATTAGCTTGCATTAACATTGTGAATTGGTTAATGCACGAAATAGCCTGAAACAATATTATTCGAAAAAATAAGAGAAGCAATGTTGTAAAAAAATTTCTTCTTTTTATATCTTAGTGTTTGAAGTTTGCTGTGTAATTACTATCCTGTTATTGACGTTTTTACTGCAATTTCTTGATACTACCTTGCTCGTAGACAAGTCTGAATCACGTTACGTTATGCAGAAAGTTATACCTAAGTACTTCATTGGGCGCGAAAGCTTTCTATATTTAATAATTCCGAGTTTATTCGCATCTGCTTCTATAGGAGGTACTGCTGTAGTAGCAACAGGAATGATGTTTGTGACATACCTCAAACATACCTGTGGAATGTTTAGAATAGCCAGGTGAAGGCATGAGTATAGAAGTGATGTCTATAATAATTATTTGATTGTATAACGTAGTTCTCTGTTGCTACTTAATTCAGTAATTTTATATGGAGAGTAATCTTATTACAAGTGTCTATTTGGTAGATCATATATTATTCTACTAACACATGTACTCGTATATGTGTTTTGCGATTTTTTAAACATATAGTGTAAAGGAAAACTATTTTGAACATATCACTTTTTTTAACTGGCCTTTTTCGCTTTTCTTATAACGATTGAAAAAATTTCTTTCGGCAATATAAAATATAAAAACAAATCATTTTTCTTTCTGTGTTTGGGTAATTGTGCGTAACAAAAAAATTTTACAGTTACCGCATTGAAAAGGCAATGATGATAAAAATGCTGAAGAATGTTAACTTGGAAAATGAGATTATAATTTATAAGGAAATTGTACATGCTGTTGATATTCATCGCAAAGCTGTCCAGTTAGTATTTATTACCTAACAACAATTATAAATACACGTAATAATATTTTCGTTTTGTTGAAGTTTCGCTATGCTTGTGTATTCCACCTTTAAAGGATTACTATGTACAGTAACAGTAGTTGGAGTAATTTGTTTGAGCTGCAATCTTTATAGAGTGAGTTTTTACGTTCGTAGATGTAATGTTAACGTAATATTAAATGATTCTTTTGACTTTGACTTTGTAATTGAAAGGATTATTAACATCGTAATATCTAAATTAAAAGATTTTGTTGCAACCTTGTCTAGAATAATTTATTGTAATATATATGTACGTAATACATTAATTACTTTATGTTTTAGTTATCTGAAACTATGTCACGTGACGGCGAGATCGAGCAATGTTATATGCATCTTCTAATTACCATTACAATTTTTATAATCTTGTTTATATCCAATTCTGCCGGACAAGAAGTTACCGATTACAATAATCACGTATTTCTTACCGCGTAAGAATTACCGACGTGAACTTGGCGCTCGACTTTATCAAAAGATATAATTTAATATAGTGTAGTCCATTTTTATTTCGTTTGAACCTATTTACACCATGTGTTATTTTGTTTGTATCTTAAAGACTAAAAAACACAAAGTGATTACAATATAGTCAGTACCAAACTTTAAGATATTTTTAGCCTTATGTCCAAACAGTTAAAAATATTGAAATTTTAAAATGCTGTAATATACATTGAAAGTTATTCATCGTTGCTCGGCGTGAATAACGTTTTTTTCTAGACTCCAATTGTCTGTCAGTGATTAAAGTATTGTCCATTTCTGTAGTATGTTAAAATAATGTAATAATTTGACGAGTTAGAATTTCTCAATTAAAATTGGTTCAGACAAAATGCCTCTACTTAATCTTATAGATGATGGCTTGAACACCTAATATTGCTCGTGTTTAGTCTATGATCTTTTTAACTCTCTTCATTTATAACATATATAACGAGATTGTCGGTTATCTTATTTATTAAGTTTAATTCATTTTTCTAAATCCTAGCGCCAAATTCACGTCGATATAAGAATTATTGTAGATTTTCTGTTGAAAAGAGAACTTGGTTAGCTTTAAAATCCACTTACTCATAGCAAAAATTGGTAGAGAGATTTCTAATCTTTTCCAATTTTTAATTACTTGTCTAGTTGTTACTTTCTAGATACAAAGTTCAGTGGTACGTAGCACCTTTGCACATACAAAGGTTGATACTATTTATCTTGCAAAATGGCAGCAAAACTTTTCGTCCGTCTATTATCGGACTTTTTTCATTTTCCATCGAAATATTTGCCTCGGTAAAAAATAATTATATATATTGTATGTTACGTTTAACATATTGTACATATTCGACATTCGGCACAAATAGTATCGTACAAGACATTCTTTTCGAGTTCACATTATATTCCAGTTAACGAAGGCATCGTTATCCTACTTCACCGTTATATATTCCATGCAACAGTGAAAGTATATGTATCATCTGACAGCGTTTTACAATTTGCAATGTAATAGGTAAGGTTTAAACAAGTAAATATATACGTGAAATATAGTTGGTTTAATACATCGAGGAAATTTATTAATACGATTTAGTGTGATCTGCGCGAGAATATTTAAATCTTTTAGGTGTCGCTAGTGAACAGTTCGATGATTTGCAGTTTACAATATTCCGTATTTTATTAACTATTTAACTAATGTATTGTTAACCCTATAGGTAAAGTTCTTGATGGAACAACTTCAGCATATTTTTAACACGTTAAAAGATGAGAACGAAATCCCTATCATAAAGGAATACGGAAATAATGCTAAGCATTTTACGGCTGTTATAACCTGTAACATATTTAATATATGTTTTTGTAGGGGCGAGATAAATAGATTATCTAGTAAATGATAGATAATAAATAGAGAATCCAATAAAAGTTTAATTATACTAACTTAGAGTTAATTATTTTTAATCATCGAACCTGGATTTGACTAGTATATTTTTATCCGAATGCAGGTACAACGTTCGGTGGTATGTAGCACCTTTGCATGTGTTCAAGTTTTAATACTGTGTCTTTTGCAAAGGGGCAGCAGAGTTGTTACCCTGAATGTTGGCGGATTGTTCGTAATGTCTCTGGAGCTTTTCGCCAAGGTAAAAATTATCAAAACTTATCCTTCGCCGCGCACCGCCTCGACTGGCGGCCGATGGGCGGACGCGTCTCACCGCGCGCTCACGCTTGACAGTAGGTCAGGTCAATACACGTCTTAATTTAGCGGAACAATGGAATGAAGTATAAAACTTCCACGATGAGAAAGGACAACTGCGCTTGCGTGAACTTTGATGAAGAAGTGTGGTGTAAGCA